TACAAAATCAGTTTCAATATAACAGAGTTGAGCAAGTACAATTAAATAGTTTAATTGTTTATGGCTAGGATTAATTAATAAGTTAATTAATCGAATGAATAGGTTTGTATTAGACGTTGAGTTAGTATCGAGCTTTAAGGCCCAATGATATTCGAACCATTAAGCCCATTAACTTAAGTTTTATAACAACTTAAAACTCAAGGGGTACAAAAGCTCAATGGCTTTACACAGCCGGCCATAGAGAGGGTAAAGATTTTTCTCTCTTAACTCTCTCCTTTCTCTCTAGGAGGCCGGCCACCATAGGAGAGGATAGTAGCATCTTCCTTTCCCTTGGTCACTCATCTCGCCAACATGGGAGAGGATACCAACATCTTCCTCTCCCTTGGTCACTCATCTCTTCTTCCCATCTCACATCAACATCTCTCTTTGATATGGAGATATTAGAGGATCCCTATTTTGAGAACTTGGAGATTCCTATTCAACCATCCAAATTAAAGAAGCGAAAGATCCAAATGAGCAAAGGAATGAAGACCCTGAATAGCCTTTGCAAATGCAAAGAGGATCTACAAAGGTATTATGGATTCTCAACTCTCTTGTAAATTTGAGTTGAGCCTTGGTTTACCACACCACTAGACATTGAATTTCATGATTAATATTTGTTTTTTAATACATATGAACGTACTTCCGCCTTTTAATTGTTAATATCTCTATGTATATTACTCGAATGATATTTGGTTTTCCTAAATTTATACTTCAATAATCCATGGTCCTTAAATCTTTATTTATCTGAAAATGGAGAAAATTGTACCCCCAAAAAGGAAATTAACGGACAAAATTGTGCTGAGCAGATTACTGCTTAAGGAATGGAGAAAAAAAGAAAGAAAGAAAATGCATGGTGGAAAGAAGAAAATGCATGGGAAATGATTGATTAGCCAGTTATGGTAGAGTTGAGAGCACTATGAACATCAACTCCAATCTGAGCCTCAGCTTTCTCCAAATCAGTGGTAGCCGAAGAAAGCTTCTGGGTGAACTCCGCAAGCCCCTTTTGTACTAAGCTTGCGTCAATCTGGTCAATCGGCACTGCCTCCACAGCCACTATATCAGCAACAGAATTTGCATGAATGAAAGCAAACCCGCTGCTCACAAAATACTTTGTCACGTCGCTGCCTTCATGCACCGATAGGACCCCGGGCTTGAGCTCCGCGATCGTTGGAACATGGCCTGGCAAAACACCCATTTGCCCAGTTGTTGCTGGTACCATGACCATGTCAACCTGACACGCATTCTTCAGCTTGTTAATAAATTGTGGTTGGAATCCAATAAAACAAGCATCAATGTGGTTAAGCAGCTAGCTATCTGAAAGTTTGAACATTACAAGTTAGCCGGTGAATATATCACGAATACTATATGTTCACCAAGGCGAAACCAATAAACAAAACAAATCGAGTGTCAAGCTGCATTTTCAAATGTAAGTTCAGCCCAGACGAGTTTTGAACCCTAGCTATGCAGCTATGTCGGCCGAGTTTCAAACCCTAGCTAGTCACACAGATAGATATGAGAGGAAAGATTGCCATGAAGGAGGACCTGATACTTCCAATTGAACGGGGAGAAGCATGCATAATGATTGTATATGTTCCTGTTGCCTCTCAAACAAAGCTTACTGATTGTATATATTATGTTTTCTTCTTTTGGGTTGTCACACGATTGCTGTATTCATTTCAACCAAAAAAAAAAAGGAATACCGCAATCGTGTGACAACCCAAAAGAAGAAAACATAATACTAATATAATATCTGAATCATTTGACAAACCAAATCAAAATAATATCCAGATATGATAAAACTGCATGTATATAGTGAAGTGAACCAATAAAAAAAACCCCAGTATGATGAAAATGAATCTATGAGAATTAAGGCAAAATCCCACAACATAAAATAATCAAAATTGGAACGTGAGAAGCAGATGAATAAGTATTTGCTTCCGGAAGAAATTGACGAATTTATTGGAAATCCTACAAGATTTATTCGTTTTTTTTTTCTCTGACAGATGGCTAGAACTTCATCTAGGTTTGAATCGTAGTGACGGGTCCACTAAAGATTAGAAATTGTTGAAGAAAGAACAAGATGTTTCTTTTGTCCCTTCTAGGCATCGGCAATAAAGAAATAGTTAATATACTCAAGATAATTACGTATTTACAAAATACCGTCTCACTTCATCCTATTTCATCATATTCAGGATGTAATATGGTTCCGAATGCAGATAAAAACAATAAATTTACAAATCATAATTAAAATAAGGAAGTAAACAATCCAAATATGAGAAGATACAATAAAGCAAAAAAAAAAAAAAAAAAAAAAAAAAAAAAAAAAAAAAAAACCAAAACTAAAGTGGGAAATCACGTATTAAAAAACATGAAGGGTTAAGAAAAACAAAGCAAATGTTAAATCCAAAAGAAAAGGCAATGGGGAGCAACGCAGACCGACCTCTTTGCAGGAGAGCTGGGAGGAATAAGGGAGGACGAAGTTGACGGTGAGTTTGGAAGGGAGGGAAGAAGGGGTGGGAGGGCGAGGTTCCATGTACGTTGATGGAGTGTGGGGTGGCTCCATGGTTGGACTCACTTTCTTCCATGCTTCCACGAAGGCTGAGTCCTTGTTGCTATTCGCTGGGACCTCCGTGCACATGGCTCGGACCCTCGGCGGCCGACTGGATCGACCCAAGAGACGTGATGCTTGCCGGAACATGGTGCTTGTGTGCCGCCTTTCCGGGTTTCTTGTGTTACCAAGGAATTCAGAACAAATTGAAAATGTTGAAAAAGGGCCTAGTCCCTTTTCCTAATGATTTTCCTCATTTTTATAGGACTCTGATCTGAAAAGTGAGTGGATTTTGGTGAAGTTGTTACAGACTTTTGAGTTTTTGAAAAGAAAAAAAAAATGCTTTTCATGCTTATTGGTGAATTTGAGTTTAAATCTAGTATTCATCTTCACTTGAAAGGTCTTAGGTTCAATTATCACCAAATGTGACTTTGAACCACATTATTGCTAGCTTAGTGTTAGGCTAAGCCTAGCCATTCCCTTTTAGTATAGATGATAGTGTTTAGTTTTTTTTTTTTTTTTAATTTTTAAAATAAAAAATTTGGAGTGCACAATAATTTTTATGGAGCGTCAATAATAGCATATAAAAATGATGCATATCAGTTTAATTCCTCTAAGTGTCAGATTCAAGCCACTTATTAGTACTACAATCTAGTGGTCTATCTCTTCACTTGTAAGTGAGAGATCTTAGGTTTGATTCTCGTCAAAAGCGAATATGAACCACATTATTGCTGGCCCACTGTGAGACTTAGCCTACTCCCCCACCCCTTTATGTAAATAATATCGTTTGTTAAAAAGAAAAGTGTCGGATTCAAGAACTTTTCCTTAAATAGGAGATGTAAAAAAACTTATAATTTAATTCTTAAATAGAAAGTGATGAATTGCCTTAATAGTTAAAGCTCTCCCCCACTTTCCCTTGTGTACAGTATCACTAGTACACAAAAAATGGTGCTTTACCGCAACAATGGTGGAAAGTAATTATGTTTAGAGCAAGTCCACCCCTAAGGACTTTGCGCCAGCACCCAGCGCATTTATCCACTCAAATGAATAGTAATAGACTGGAGTGAACAGTAATAGGCCAAGGCATCTCCACCCCTAAAAAAATGCGCTGGCACCCAGCGCATTTTTTTGGTGTGTTTTTTTTTTTAAGTTTATTTCGGATAAGATTTTTAACCAATTTCAGATAAAATTTCAAATAAACTTAAAAAAAATACACACTAAAATAAAATTACATACTCATCAAATAAACTATAAAAAAAAACACACTAAAATGAAATTACATAAACTCATCAAATACACTTTATTCTTCAACGACAAGTTTTTTGGTATTTTTTTTTCACACAAAAAGTATATGAAAGCTTTGGTAGAAAGTGTAGAAAATATTGAAATGTGGTGTAAGGTGGAAGATGAGAGTTAGGTATTTATAGAAAAAATAAATAATTTTTTTTTAAAATTTTATGTATTTTTTAATATTTTTTCTGTATGTTTTAATAAATTTTAATTAGTTAATTAACGTGGACCGTTGATCTGTGATCGGACGGTATATTTTAAAAGTAAAATTTAAATTTTTTTTTACCGTTGGAAATCCAACGGATATAAGAATGCCACGTCGCTGATGGGATCCGGAGCACAAGTGGGCTGACAGCCCTGTCGGCTACTCGCGGCAGCGCCTGCGTGAAGCGCACGCGCCAGGCAAACTGCCCAGCTTCTTGCTCAGTCTGTTTTGGGCTGGTCCATTGCCCAGCTTGGGCTGGGTACCAGTCAAAATGAGGGGTGGACTTGGTTGATAGGGTGTTGGCCCTGTTTTTGTGCTGGGTCCTGGACAAAATCCACTGGGGTGGAATTGCTCTTATGCATCATGACGCATGTTTGATAAATTTATATGATTCATTTTGCTGATTTTATTTTCTAGGATTTGAGTTTTTATCTCCTGATTATTTTTTGTAGAGGTATTAATTTTCCTTTTTGACTGGAAATTTGAGAGTTTTAAGTATAATGCTATCAAATTAATTCTATTTTTCTAATTTTCTGATTTTGGTGCAAAGCACGGAGTACTAATATATTGATCCTGGGATTTTTTTGTCTTTGTAGGATTTTGGTCTTTGAAATGGGTATGTGTTGTTTTTAACATTTTGGTTCTCACGTATTCCGGTCTTTGATTTCAGTTGTCTACCTCTTTGTAAAAATAGTTGTAGTTTTCTAAGAAGGTTGGGACTTTAGTTATATTTTTTTTGTAATCTCAATTCAGTTTAAGACTCTCAAAACAATGGAAAACAGATAAGAGTGATTAAAATTTTGTATCCGAATCGAGGAATTGGTTGCAACACTAAATCATCATACTATTCTTCATATTTTGGAAACAGATTTTTATTTTTTGGTTTTATTATTATTATTATTATTATTATTATTATTATTATTATTATTTTGCTGTTATTAGTATGAATTTTGTTTGATGGGAGGCTGGTTGAGTGTGGAAAAGATTGTATGGGTCCTTTGTATTTGAAGGAAGATTTTCATAAAATTCCAGTATTTTTTTGCAAGTAATTACTTTTGTGTGTTTGAGCATTGTACTATTGTTTCTTGCCATTTCCATTCTTATTTTTGTGTTATTTGAGGCCAAGCTATACATATTTCTTAGTAACGTACCAGCAATTATGTTTCCATAATCTTAATAACTTGCAAAGATGTGTTGCAATTACTCTGAACTTTAGTATTGTATAATATTTCAATCAGTTGAATATATTTTCAAATTTTAGTATCAGATTCTTTTGGGGATGTGAGCAATCTATATAAATCCTTTGTTTCCCTTTTAGATTGTGAAAGAAAAGGGGATACTGGAACTTTCGTGACCTTTGATAATCAATACATTTTGGAAAGCAGTTTTTTCCGTTTCTTATTACTTGATGTGGAAGTGGTACTCATAACAAGATTTTTTACCATAATGTTTAGCTTCATAGTTGTGCATATTTCAGTTGATCCTCTCTTTTGCTCATCTTCTGCAGAAATGGATGAGTTTGGGAAATGGGTTGTCTGAATCCAAAGCTAAAGACTTGAAAAGAAGGAGATTTGAGTAGTTGGAGCGTTTCCCAAAAGTTTGATTCACGAAATTCAGTATCTTACTAGCTTATTCATGAAAACGTTTTTATGAAATGTTATTACTGCTTCTGAGTAAGCCTTTGTTTGGAGCAGGTTGGAAAGGCTCGAGGTGTTGTGGTGTCAATAGAATTGTGCTTTTCCCCAAAGTTTCAGATGCTTTGAAAGGTTTTACTCTTACTCTCTTGCTTTTGTTCAACTGTTTTGCAGTGTGATTTGATTTTTTGGATGGCTTTTCTGGATTGTTCTTAATTTTATGTTTTCTGTTTGCATTTGATTTAACTCCGCCTATGTCTTACATGGCCGGTCCCAAGCCCGGATAAAGGAGGAGGGGGAGGGCGTCAGGTAGTCGACAGCCGGCACTCCATGATCACGTCGAATCCTTATGAAAATGAATCCAGAACAAAATCGCGCTAAAGCTAGGGCGTCACCCGTAAGTGGCGCGCTGTGTGGCCCGAGCACAGTGATAAGTGAGCAAGGGTCGCTGTATCTCCATCGGCACCCGGATGCAGTGTTAAATGAGCAAGGGGGCCATAGAAACTTCTTTTCGAACGACTCCACTCAAAGTTGTTTGGGAGCATATGCTCCTATCAACTTTACCCGGGACACACAAAAGAAGTACTTTGATCCTATTAGACGGGGGAGGGTGAAGAAGCTAGGACAGAAGGGTAGAGTTCAAGAGAGCAAAATGCGTTTAGGAACGTGGAATATAGGAACCTTAACGGGAAAATCTATGGAAGTAGTGGAAGTTATGGTGAGGAGAAGGATAAATATTATGTGCCTACAAGAAACTAAGTGGGTTGGTAGTAAGGCAAAGGATCTAGAAAACTCAGGGTTTTAAACTTTGGTATTCGGGCACAAATAGAACGAGAAACGGTGTTGGCATCATCGTGGACAAGACCTTGGTACAAGATGTTGTAGATGTCAAGAGGGTAGGAGATAGAATCATGGCAATCAAGATTGTAATAGGACAAGAACTTATCAATGTGATTAGTGCGTACGCACCTCAAGTAGGGTTGGATACGAGTTCGAAGGAGAAATTTTGGGAAGATCTTGGAGACTTGGTGCAAGGAATTGCTCAGACGGAGAAGTTATTTATAGGAGGAGATTTAAATGGACACGTGGGCAGGGAGACAGGCAACTATGGAGGTTTTCATGGTGGCCATGGTTTTGGGGAGAGAAACGAGGATGGGGAAGCTATCTTGGATTTTGCAATGGCATATGATCTCTTCTTAGCCAACACCTTCTTTAAGAAGAGAGAAGAACATGTGATCACCTACAAGAGTGGGTCGTCAAAAAACACAAATAGATTTTCTTCTAATGAGGAAAGGGGATCGTATAACTTGTAAGGATTGCAAAGTTATACCAGGAGAGAGCGTGGCTAATCAACATCGCTTGTTGGTGATGGATGTACATATCAAAAGAGTAAGACAAAAGAACAAGACTTGGAAGTGCCCAAGAACTAGATGGTGGAATCTAAAAGAAGAAAAACAAGCCATTTTCAAAGAGAAGGTAATCACCCAATGTGTGTGTGGGATAGAGAGAGGGGGAAGCTAGCCAAATGTGGGATTCCATGGCTAGTTGTATCCGAAAAGTAGCAAAAGAGGTATTAGGAGAGTCCAAGGGCTTTGCCCCACACCAAAAGGAATCTTGGTGGTGGAATGAGGAGGTACAAACAAAGGTGAAGGCTAAGAAGGAATGTTGTAAAGCCTTATACAAGGAGAGGACCGATGAAAATGGTGAAAGGTATAGAAAAGCGAAGCAAGAGGCGAAGAAAGCTGTCAGAGAAGCTAAGTTAGCGGCTTACGACGATATGTATAAACGACTAGATACCAAAGAAGGAGAGTTGGATATCTATAAACTAGCTAGAGCAAGGGAAAAGAAGACAAGGGACCTAAACCAAGTGAGGTGCATCAAGGATGAGGATGGAAAGGTTCTTGCTACAGAGAACGCGGTTAAAGACAGATGGAGAGGTTATTTTCATAATCTTTTCAATGAAGGACATGAAAGGAGTGCTTCTTTAGGGGAGTTGAGTAACTCAGAAGAGTGTAGAAACTACTCCTTTTATCGTCGAATCCGGAAGGAAGAAGTGGTTGTAGCTTTGAAGAAGATGGAGCATAGAAAAGCAATAGGCCCAGACGATATACCAATCGAAGTGTGGAAAGTTTTGGGAGAGACAGGTATAACATGGCTCACTGACCTTTTCAATAGGATTTTGAAAACGAAGAAGATGCCAAATGAGTGGCGAACGAGTACTTTGGTGCCTATCTACAAGAATAAGGGCGACGTACAAAATTGCATGAACTATAGGGGTATTAAGCTAATGAGTCATACAATGAAGCTCTGGGAGAGAGTCATTGAGCATAGATTGAGGCAAGAGACACGGGTTTCGGACAACCAATTCGGGTTCATGCCAGGGCGCTCAACCATGGAGGCAATCTATCTCTTACGAAGATTGATGGAAAGATATAGAGATGGGAAAAAGGATTTACACATGGTCTTTATAGATTTGGAAAAAGCGTATGATAGGGTCCCAAGAGACATTCTTTGGAGGATTTTAGAGAAGAAAGGAGTACGAGTAGCATATATCCAAGCTATAAAGGATATGTATGAAGGAGCAAAGACTGCCGTAAGAACTCATGAAGGACAAACCGAAAGCTTTCCCATAACTGTAGGATTACATCAAGGCTCATCCTTAAGTCCTTACCTTTTTGCGTTGGTAATGGATGAGTTAACAGGACATATTCAAGATGATATTCCTTGGTGTATGCTTTTTCGCAGACGATATAGTGTTGATAGATGAAACTCAGGAAGGGGTAAATGCAAAGCTTAACCTTTGGAGAGAAGTGTTGGAATCTAAAGGTCTTCGCCTAAGCCGATCAAAGACAGAATATATGGAGTGCAAGTTCAGTGCAAATGGAGGCCAAAACGAGTTAGGGGTGAGGATCGGAGATCAAGAAATACCAAAGAGCGACCGTTTTCGTTACCTAGGATCTATCTTGCAAAAGAACGGAGAATTAGATGGAGATCTCAACCATAGAATACAAGCTGGATGGATGAAGTGGAAGAGTGCATCCGGCGTGTTGTGTGACCGCCGTATGCCATTGAAGCTCAAGGAAAAATTTTATAGGACGGCAATAAGGCCGGCAATGCTGTATGGCACAGAATGTTGGGCGGTGAAACATCAACACGTACACAAAATGGGTGTAGCGGAGATGAGGATGCTTCGTTGGATGTGTGGGCACACGAGAAAGGATAAGATTAGGAATGAGGATATCCGGGGTAAAGTAGGAGTAGCCGAAATTGAAGGAAAGATGAGAGAAAATCGGTTACGGTGGTTTGGACATGTGCAAAGAAGGCCTACTGACGCTCCGATTAGAAGATGCGACTATGGGACAGAGGTTCAGGGCCGAAGGGGGTAGAGGAAGACCTAGGAAAACTTTGGAAGAGACTCTAAGAAAAAGACTTAGAGTACTTGGATCTAACGAAGGACATGACACAGGATCGAGCACAATGGCGTTCTAAGATTCATATAGCCGATCCCACTCAGTGACTTGGATTTTCCAAGTCTCAAACCAAGAAGTTTTCCTCACTCGGGAAATTAAGGGAACACTACCCCAACCTACATGCTCCACTCAGAAAGCTTCAACATACAAGCTTCAACAAAAGAAAATTCAAAGAACTTAGCGAAGAAGGCTTTGGTGTATTTAACACAATACGTTGAAATGAAGGAAAGCTTATTTATTGATATCCCCGATAAGCTACAAATATGTACATATACATGAGTCAAAATAAACACACAAGAGGGAGCCTTCACAAAGGTTGCTTAGGAGAAGTCTCAGCAGTCGGTAGAGCCCCAGAAAGAGAAGGCACCGGAGGGGATCATTTGGAGCCTCAGTACTGGACAGAACCCTAGAAGGAGGAGGCATCAGAGGTTGATCATTTGGAGCTTCATTACGCGGTACAGCCCCAGAAGACGAAGGCAATAAATGCCTTTGGAACAAACCCACAAATCTCTGATGATCAAGTAAAACCTGACCATCAGTTTCCTTCATCTGGTCAAGCTTCATCTTCATGTTTGTAGCATAGTCATGTGCGAGCCGGTGCAACTGTTTATTCTCATGCTTGAGCCCTCTAATCTCCTGTTTGAGACTCATCACTTCAGCCGCCAATGATTCAACTTGGCGGGTTCGAGCAAATAGGCGTTGTGCCATATTAGACACAGAACCTGCACACTGAACACTGAGAGCCAGCGAATCCTTAACAGCTAACTCATCAGACCGTTTGGAAAGTAGTCTGTTATCTTTGGGAGTGAGGAAGGTTCCTGGCCACCACCGCAGCGGTCATATCATTCTTCATCACGGAATCCCCAACGGTAAGAGGACCAGTTGGGGAAACGAAGGATGGGCGCCATATGTTGTCTGGAGAAGGCGGGGCTGCCTCTTCAACAAGGTTCAAGTCAAAACGACGGTCGGAGGGGCCAGACATTTTCAAAGGTGTTGAAGAGAGAAGAGGTCGGACAAATCAAGATCTTAGAAGTGCAAGAATGAAGCTTCTACTGGTGGAGATTCAAGTGTGCTTTGGAACTTAATGCCAGCCCCTATAAAAATCTGCACTCGACGGAGCTTCAGAAATCAAAGAGGCGCCTGCTCAGAAATCGAAGAGGCGTTTGCTTTCTCAAAAAGTTGGGCTGCTTAGAGATCACGAGGGTTGATCTCAGAAATCGAAGAGCCGTTTGCTTTCTCAAAAGTTGGGCTGCTCAAAGACCACGAAGGCCGATCTCAGAAATCGAAGAGGCGCTCGCTTTCTCAAAAGCTAGGCTCCCTAGAGACCACGAGGGCCGATCTCAGAAATCGAAGAGGCACCTACTTTTCCAGCCTTGTCAGCACCTGTCACACGCACACTCAGCTTTGCGGAAATTATGGGCATTCTGTCAAAGACTTCTGGGGAAGTAGAAAAACACATGAAATCTTACTGTTCAATCACCCACTTCCCACACGCAACAATAGCTCATGGGTACCACAGATAACTTTGCCAAAGTTCTCTGCCAAAGTTGAGCACGTGAAGCTTGCAGCTCCCACTACATCGCTCTGACCAAGAAGGGTAAAAGAATAGCAAAAGAAACAGCACTAACAAAGTTTAGACCCATAAATTTTTGAAGGTCTAGCTACCATATTATTACCCACAAGGGTAAAGGAACAGTACCACTGCTGGATTAATTGGAAAGTCCATGTATGTCAACCTCTGTGCTTCGTGGCAAGGTAGACTAGCAAACATGCCCAACCTTTACTCACATTCGAGAAAACACTCCCAATAAGATTGCTTGCTCCAAAATCGAAGAGGCACCGTCCTCCGAATCTAAAGAGCCAGACTCCCAACATGACTACTTTCTTAAAAATCGAAGAGAGGGTAAAGGAACAGTACCATTGCTGGATAATTGGAAAGTCCCTGTGTGTCAACCTCTGTGCTTCGTGGCAAGGTAGACTAGCAAACATGCCCAACCTTTACTCACATTCGAGAAAACACTCCCAACAAGATTGCTTGCTCCAAAATCGAAGAGGCACCGCCCTCCGAATCTTGAGAGCCACTCTCCCAACATTATTACTTTCTCAAAAATCGAAGAGACACTGCTCCCCGAATCTCGAGAGCCAGACCCCCAACATGATTGCTTTCTCAAAAATCGGTGAGGCACCGTTCTCCGAATCAATCGAAGAGGCGCTCGCTTTCTCAAAAGCTGGGCTGCTCAGAGACCACGAGGGCCGATCTCAGAAATCAAAGAGGCACCTACTTTTCTAGCCTTGTCAGCACCTGTCACACGCACACTCAGCTTTGCAGAAATTATGGGCATTCTGTCGAAGACTTCTGGTGAAGTAGAAAGCACATGAATCTTACTGTTCAATCACCCACTTCCCACACGCAACAATAACTCATGGGTACCACAGATCACTTTGCCAAAGTTCTCTGCCAAAGTTGAGCACGTGAAGCTTGCAGCTCCCACTACATCGCTCTGACCAAGAAAGGTAAAAAGAATAGCAAAGAAACAGCACTAACAAAGTTTAGACACATAAATTTTGAAGGTCTAGCTACCATATTATTACCCACAAGGGTAAAGGAACAGTACCACTGCTGGATAATTGGAAAGTCCCTGTGTGTCAACCTCTATGCTTCGTGGCAAGGTAGACTAGCAAACATGCCCAACCTTTACTCACATTCGAGAAAACAGTCCCAACAAGATTGCTTGCTCCAAAAATCGAAGAGGCACCGTCCTCCGAATCTCGAGAGCCAGACTCCCAACATGACTACTTTCTCAAAATCGAAGAGAGGGTAAAGGAACAGTACCATTGCTGGATAATTGGAAAGTCCCTATGTGTCAACCTTTGTGCTTCGTGGCAAGGTAGACTAGCAAACATGTCCAACCTTTACTCACATTCGAGACAACACTCCCAACAAGATTGCTTGCTCCAAAATCGAAGAGGCACCGCCCTCCGAATCTCGAGAGCCAGACTCCCAACATGATTACTTCCTCAAAAATCGAAGAGACACTGCTCTCCGAATCTCGAGAGTCAGACCCCCAACATGATTGCTTTCTCAAAAATCGAAGAGGCATCGTTCTCCGAATCTCGAGAGCCAGATACCACAGACCACTTTTTCAAAGTGCTCTGACAGAGTTAAAACATGTGAAACTGGCAGCTCCCACTACCGTGCTATGACCAAGCAGGGTAAAGGAATAGCATTACTACTTGTTGTTAGGGAGACTCCTATATATGTCGACCTCCATCCCCAACGGACAGGCAGACCTGCAAAAATGCTCAACCCTTCATCATATCTGAGAGGGCACTCCCAACAAAGCCTTTCGAAATATTCAGCTTTCTTTCCCCCCGATAATACCTCTGCAAACAAGCTATACTAGAGCAAGAATATCTCATATCATCAGGGTTAAAAGCAAGAGTATCCCATATCATGCTTTTTCCCTGTTTTTTCTTTTGGCCTTGTTTTTACCTGCAAGACAAGGAGAAAGAGAGCAATCAGTCAGCACTTGGAATCAAGCTTCCAGCCAGGAACTGACTGCCTGGAACCCCTTACCTGATTACTTACCTGGCATTGCTCTCGAGTACTCATCTTCAACATCTTATGTTTCCAGGGAAGATTCCGCATCTGCTTGAGGAACAGATAGGGCAAGTGCGAAGGATACAAGGAAGCATGTGGAGACAAGCGTAACAGCACACGTGCCGATACATCCATTACTCTGTCAAAAGAAAAAGTATCCCATATCAGCAGGGTGGAACGTACTCTAGATTTGATGGACTTGTTTTTGACCCTCAAAATTCTTCAGTCGGCCTTATACTCTGGAGGAAACCAGAAAACCCTCCAGCTCAGTTCAAGAATAAGCCTGTGGAAAGTTACTTCTTCAAAAGCAAAAGTATCTCATATCATCTCTTCTCATTTTTCTTCTCTTTATCCTTCATGCTGCTGCAAGATGGGGAGAAGGTGAACAATCAGTCGGAGCTCTGATTGCTTACCTTGTCTGTCACCTCTTTCAGCAGACCCCCTAGCTCGGCGACTTGGGGGACTCCTACTACATGGTTTGTATCGCGCTTGACCAAGCCTGAAACTACAAGTAAGCTTCAAGTGAAATTGATACATTACCTTGTGCATCTCCACCAGTTAAAGATACCACCCCTGGATGGAGGAAGAGTACTTCCAGAGAAGATGCCACATCTACCTATGAGACAGATAAGGCAAGTCAAGACGACACCACACTCCGATACTTAGAAGTTTCGTGATTACGAGATCATTCTCCCACAATATTTCCTAATGTCATTTGTACTAAATCATTCACTCGTACTCACTAAAGGAGAGCTTGAACCTATGTACTTGTGTAAACCCTTCACAATTAATGAGAACTCTTCTATTCCGTGGACGTAGCCAATCTGGGTGAACCACGTACATCTTGTGTTTGCTTTCCTATCTCTATCCATTTATATACTTATCCACACTAATGACCGGAGCAATCTAGCGAAGATCACAAAAAGCGACCGTTTTCGTTACCTATGATCTATCTTGCAAGAGAACGGAGAATTAGATGGAGATCTCAACCATAGAATACGAGCTGGATGGAAAGAGTGCATCCGGCGTGTTGTGTGACCGTCGTAGGCCACTGAAGCTCAAGGGAAAATTTTATAGGACGGCAATAAGGCCAGCGATGTTGTATGGCAGAGAATGTTGGGTGGTGAAGCATCAACACGTACACAAAATGGGTGTAGCGGAGATAAGGATGCTTCGTGGGATGTGTGGGCACACGAGAAAGGATAAGATTGGGAATGAGGATATCCGAGGTACAGTAGGAGTAGCCGAAATTGTAGGAAAGATGAGAGAAAATCGGCTCTGGTGATTTGGACATGTGCAAAGAAGGCCGACTGACGCTCCGGTTCGAAGATGTGACTACGGGACAGAGGTTCAGGGCCGAAGGGGTAGAGGAAGACCTAGGAAAACTTTGGAAGAGACTCTAAGAAAAGACTTAGAGTACTTGGATCTAACGGAGGACATGACACAAAACCGAGCGCAATGGCGTTCTAGGATTCATATAGCCGACCCCACTTAGTGGGAAAAGGCTTTGTTGTTGTTGTTGTTGTTGTTTGCATTTGATTTGGTTCAATGGAGCTAATATGTAAATTATTAGGGTTTATTGGTAATTTTACTGAATTTGGCAATAATGCAGAAAAGGGTATGAAACAATCGCAGAATGCAACAACCGCCGCCAATTGGAAGGGTTCTTTGTTTCTGGACTCTAGCTTTACTTTTGCTTTAACTTTCAAATCATCAAATAAGCTTACGTAGAGACATGAGTTCAGCCTGAATAGAAATATCCTAATATTGATTTTGGTTTGATTTTTGTTTCCTTATTCTTTTTATTTTTTTTTTTTAATTTTCTGAACAATTTTATTTATTAGTTTTAAGTCCTAATTCACACAATCAACCAACATGCTTGCAATTTTGTCTAATAGTCTAAAATTCATATAATCATTTTATAAAATGGGATGTGTGAGGAAGTGTATCTCAATTCGAAATTATACATTTATGTTGAAATTAAGCATGTGTTTGATATTTGTGAATTTACAACTGCTTAATGTTAAGGTAAATACTGATTACAAAATTTTTGTACGGTTTTCAATCCCGCAGCATCTCGCGGGCTATTCTTTGCTAGTCTTTTCGAAAATCAAAGTCTGAATCAATTCCAATGTTTTCCTAGATAAAGCAAAGTTAATAGTTGACAATAAGTTACAGAACATAACGGTGTTATAGTCAGTTCCATATAATCAAATGTAATTTATTTTGTCGCTTAGTACTACAATTTAGTGGTATTCTTCTTTACTTGTAAATAAGAGGTCTTAGGTTCGATTCCCGTCATAGGCGAATTTGAATCCCATTATTGCTAGTCTATTGTGAGGCTAAGCACACCCATTCCTTTTAGATTAGATAATATGCTTGTGTTAAGTCATTCACTTTGAAAATAAATGTGGCTCAAACTTCCAACCACAAAAAAATGACCAAAATAAACAAGAAATTATACGTATACGTCTATGGTAATTAAACTGATGTCGTCCTCCTATAAAACTGGATCACGAATCAATGATAATCAAATGTCGTTTTTCCTTCACTGTGATCTTCAGTTCTGTAGAACAACTTGAGATAAATTTCTGGCTGTGAAAATTTTGGTTAAACTTTCATGTACGTGAAATTCCGTCTCCGAATTTCACTATTTTTGTATTTTGCAGTTACTTATTTAGAATCTGTAGACCTTTTGGGAATCACTCCTAGTATTTTTGGGTAGAACACGGTCTTATCAATGTGTAGGCAAAAACCGTCCACAAAACGGAGTAATAATGAAGGAGAAACAAGCAAGCAAAGGCAGGGTTAAAATGATCATTTGGACCATCTATTTCTGAAAGGCTGCAGCAAAGCCGGAGTAGCTTTCCCGTTTTAGAAAGCTACGTGTGTGGCCCATAAAGGTTTCCCACGTTGACCCACGACTGACCCGTTTCTGGGCAATTTTTGCAGGCAAATTTCCGGCTGCTTACGGTGGTTTGTCCCGCTGAATTTATCCACAACCAAAGAAAGCTCTCTGTATTAGAAACGGCAATTTTTTACATTAGACTATTAATTTCTCGTATAAACTAACTGATCGTGCTATCTACACATTCATTTTTATCTCTCACGCACTATTAACGTGCGACCCGACCCGTTAAGCATCCATCCAAATACAAATATTAACGGGTTGGGTCGGGTCGGGTTAACGGGTTAGGTCCAAAATGCCAAGTCTAGGTGTATGAAATGTGTGGGTGTGAGGGTAGTTTCAATTAGTAAGTAGGGTGTATTAAGATAATTTTTAGTTTAAAAAGTAAGCATGAGGTGTTTTAAGTATGTGAAGTGTCTTCATCAATATGTAAGGTGCTAATAAAACAACCCTTTTGTATTTCGCAGTTACTTATTTAGAATCGTAGACCTTTTGGGAATCACTCCTAGTATTTTTGGGTAGAACACGATCTTATCAACGTGTAGGCAAAAATCGTTCACAAAACGGAGTAATAATGAAGGAGAAACAAGCAAGCAAAGGCAGGGTTAAAATGATCATTTGGACCATCTATTTCTGAAAGGCTGCAGCAAAGCTGGAGTAGCTTTCCCGTTTTAGAAAGCTACGTGTGGCCCAGATGGGTTTCTCCCCTTGACCCACGACTGACCTGTTTCTGGGCAATTTTTGCAGGCAAATTTCCGGCTGCTTACGGTGGTTTGTCCCACTGAATTTATCCACAACCAAAGAAAGCTCTCTATATTAGAAACGGCGATTTTTTACATTAGACTATTAATTTCTAGTATAAACTAACTGATCGTGCTATCTACACATTCATTTTTATCGCTCACGCACTATTAATTTATGCCATTGATCTTCAATTCATTCGATACAATAGAAAACCCAGTGTAGTGCGAGAGGTTAAAAAAGGTGTAGATATAGCACCACCCTAAACTGACAACCTATGCTCTGTCGTCTTTAATTTGCCCTAAAATTTTTACACTCCATGTGCCTCTATGATTCCATGGAGGAAAGCTGCACACCTATAACCAATTATTTCATACAACTTTCAACCTATTTACAAAAGAAAGCAGCCACACCGATGCCGGAGCAGAAAATACCGGCGAAGAAGCCACACCGGTGCCGTGCCAATGCAAAACATAAAGGATCCTTGCTTACAGCAGAATAGCAGAAAACCATAGAACCATCACGATCTCTATTGTCTTTCGTTTGTCTTACGGGCCAGACTCTTGTGCCCAAAAGGCGTCCGGATCTGGGATATATACAGAAGGATCTTCGATTTCCAAATTTGCTATATGCCAGTCCACAAACCGCGCTTGTATTAACTTCAATAGCAGGAGAATCGTTGGCAAAAGCCACCATTTATCATCATCCCTGAGACCACGCACAAGTCATAAGGAAATATACGTCACATTGATATGTATGTAAGATACAATGCACATATGAAGAAGATAAAAAGAATACTATTATCCAGTGGAAGAATACTAGTCACGCCAGGGCTTCTAGCAGCATAAAACCATCAGTGCAGTGAGAATATTCTTCAACTTCCAAGACTTCGACACAGTTTGTGCAGCTATGTGAGTAATAAAAAGTCCAAAAAGGAGAACCGTGTTGTGTGATTAAATTTGTTTTCTCAAAATTTTCACTCTCTACCATAACCAAGCATGAACAGTCTTTTGGATGCCTTTCTATGCAACTACAATGGATGATTAAACTATTTTCTGTTGTTCGGTTTTGGATCCTTCACAAGGTTGTCACATTTAAGGCACTAAGGCTAACCATGATTGCACCCATCGGAAATTTAACATCAGCTCATTTCTAAAATTTTTAGTGGTTCACCAAAGTTGAGCAGAACAAAGTAACTCTTCATGCTCTACAAACAGGTGAATATGGTAATGGCCACAAACCACAGATGAATTGGATTCGTCACCTTCTAATATTGAATCGATTACACTAATTTTGTAAACGTTCCCCTCACCTTGTCCTGGGCCTCCTGGCTATGCCAGTGCAATCACAGTTCTTATGGATAGAAATATTGGTCCTAACTACATAGTTTCCTATCCCAATAATGTTGTATTTGAGAAAGATTTGCAGATGTCCTATGAACTTTAGACACCCAAATCAATATAGCCTGGTGAAGCACAAGTCTTTCATTTATCGCATAGTTATGGAAGTGATCTTAATCCGCAAGGAGCACTATAAGCAATCAGGGTAAAGCGGAAGTTTTCACAGAGACATTAACATGCGTAACAAGGAATCTGACTATTAGTTTCAACTTTCAAGATAGAATGAAGTTGAGTTGAGGACTCACCTTCTAGTGTTCCATGTATCTGACTTGCCAGGTGGCCGGAAAAAGGAAAATCCATAATAAAAAATGCCACACATTAATGCGACCACCTGCAGAAGTCAAAATTGATTATATGATTATTAGAATAATACGCGACTGCAGAAGAACTGAACACTAATGCTTAGGCTCAGCCATGCATCACAGTAATTTTTAATGTGTATGTGTACATAAAAGAAGATATGTTATAATTAGATTAAGATAAAAGGAAAGCCAGGAGCATCTCATGAAACAAAATTTGCACTCTACAAGGGATGTGACATAGCTCAGCGTCTCATTTATAACCATAAGTTGGCCTAACTTGCGATAGGGATTTCTAAAGGCAATCCCGCTAAACCATATTTCAAGCTCTGAAACTCACCACATTAGAAAGGGATGTAGCATTCCACAATGCATATACACGAGCAAGTGAAGCTCTTCTAAGTTCCTTACTGAATAAAGCATTTAATCCAGCGAGGAAGGGAGAAAGCAAGGATAGAGGTAGTATAAGCAATACAGCAAGGAAAGCCCCCAGAGATATCCAGTAGAACTGAAGCAACATAAGAAGAGTGACAGAAAGGTCTGCTAAAAGCATGAAACTTATCAGCAGCAACAGGGTGTCCTGCAACATGAGTTTTATTAGGTCTTGGACAGCATCGAGATTCAGCCTACATTTAAACACCACAGAAGACCTATTTGAAGTACCTGATGACCAACAGGTCTTGTGTTGTGCAGTAAGAGAGAAAGTGGAAACAGGAAGTCCCTTTTATAATCCAAAGATTTCAAGGTAGTATGATTTATAAGACCTCCATTAATTCCTCCAGTTATCCTTTTAACAGATAATGCATGACCTACCAACGGCCAACTTTGCTGCATCTGCTTAAGACATTTTCTTGTACATGCAACATTAGACCTGAATTTTGATAGACAATGTAATCAATAATCAACCATACTAAACAATAGATACAGGGTTCAGAAATTAATCATGTGAGCATTATAAGGGTTCTAGCAGGCTATTTACTTTATCTCCAAATGACGTCAGTTACTCGGAAGTTTACACCTACAAATGATCAAATAAAAAAGGAAAATAAAAATTCATTGTTCCCTCCATATCATGCCAGTCGTACTAGTTTGATAAAATTTCCAATGAACACTGACATAATTGAATGGCGTCATCCTGATCTCACAATTGTACTTTTCGTTACTTTTCAACATGAAGATTTATTTCTTTGGTCCCACTATTTTTTCCTTCCCAGTTCTTGGTGGAGGGAGAATTTCTTCCATTCCAAATCAAAGTCCAGTGTTGGAATATATGTTGTCCCACATCCTAGCGGCTTAAGCTTTTGAGAATTTAAACAAACAATTTTATCATGGTATCACAGTGGAGACCCTTGTATCAGACTCAACAACCATCCCCTCACATTTGTCCAGACTCAGCCGTTTTGTGGATCAGTTATATCAGGTCATGCGCAGCATGCCTGGCCAAAC